GTCTAAGGCGGTTATTCATGAATCTGCTGTATTCGTCTCCGGGAGTACGTTGCTAAGCGTTGTTGTTAAACAACGTCGGAGAGAGAGAGAGAGATCGGCCATCTGGAGTCTCGCGACGGATGTCATTCCGGGCGGACATATTTGAGATACGATTACCGTTATTACCCGTTCTGTGTTCCTTGTTCAATTGTGTGTTCTGTGTTATTATTAAAATTCCTTTTGTTCTTTGAAAAGAGTGTTAATCATTTACGTCGCGGTACGCGAGTGCCGTTTGTGTCGCGCGTGTTCGAGTATTAGAACGCTGTAGCTATTTCCTTTATAATAAAATGTGCGTCGTAACCGTATAAATTATGAAAAACTATTGGAATGCAAAAAGAATCTTTATAATTTAAATTGCAATTTGAATGCGCTGGACCTCTGTATCGCCCGGTCAGATGGCAATGATCGCGTACGCCTGTGTCATCTTGGACGAATGGTTTTTCGCAAATATGGCATTGTGTCGCGCTATGAAATTTTGCCCATTCATCAGATGTTAAATTTACCATGGGGACATTAACCTACTCTAAAATGTTTAATCGAGACAATGTCTGCCCTGTCGTGGTTGTCATAACGTTTCGAGCAGTGAGTGACGAAAAGTTTAAGTGAAATTTGAAAAATGACGTCGTTGATTGAATTGGTGCTGCAAGGGGGTCGTCCGAACGCGTCGTGGTGGGCGAAGGACTTGCCCCTCACCCCCCTCAGAGCCCCTGGCTTAGAATCCGCATAGTATCACTACTCATACCCATCAGTATTTTCACCAGAGGTTCTGAGACAACAACCATTTCAATAATTTCAACATAAATTTGGAAATATGGAAGAAAGCAGTGCCGAACGAAATCTGCGTAAGCAATCTGCAAGGACTGAATTCGATAGAGGAGTACGTTGCGTGGGAACAACGAGGCGATGAATATATCGAATCGTTGGAAGAAGAAAGTCGAATCAAACGTCCACGATGATTGCCCGAATCATTGATTGCCTGAATCGCACGACTCAAGGGATTGAAAAACTCGTTACATAGACGTTTTGTATATGCGGGTGCCGGATGCAGCACACCGCAACATGGATTGGTTTGGTGGGATATCGATACGGCGTGCGAGAGTCGCATATTGACTGGTGCGGTTATAAATCACAATCACATTGAACCTCATCAATTTCTCGAGGATGCCAAAGACATTGTGCTCAAACACGTGCAAAACGAGATGAAAAAGCACTTTAATGTGAAAGTGAATACAGTATTCAATGGTGAATTCGTGACGGGTGATAAGCGTGCAAATAAAAGTATTAATATCAGAAACTATGAACTCTTTTGCACATCCGATTTACGCGAGTGGTACGAGCGTCGCATTGTCGAGTCCACTTTAGCATCGCTCGAAGAATTTCAGGAACGCCACAGCGGATGGGCATTGTCGCGAATACTCGATTTAATTGTGAATATAAATAAATATAATCCTATGCGCGCGGGATGTCACATAAAATTATCGTGGGCAATAATGATGAAGAGAGCGGTGATTAACGTGCAATCTAAAGATAATGCGTGTTTCGCGTGATCATTTGTCGCCGCTCTACATATATCCAGCTGAAAGAGACGTATGCCGGGAATCTTCATATCCTCATTATGCAACAGTACTGAATCCCCAAGACATTGAGTTTCCAGTGACTATGAATCAAATTAAAAAATTCGAACTTGCCGATAACTCTATAAATGTATATAGTATCGAGAAAGAGAATATTGTCCCGATATGTCTGAGCGAGCTAAAGAGAGATAAACACGTCAACTTGCTGTACGTGGAAGACAACAACATTGGACATTTCGCGTGGATCAAGAATCTATCCAGGCTCGTGAGCTCGCAATTGAGCAAAAAAGAGCACAAGAAACATATTTGCTATCGGTACGCATATATTTAATAAATTGCATTGTTGAAATGTTTGAACAAAAATTAAAAAATTATTTCTTTTACAGATGTTTGCACCACTTTTGTTCGAATGACAAGTTAGTCACATACGGTTGACTGTCGAGAAATGAACGAGTGCGCTATTCGATTATCGAGCGATAAGGACAAATGGCTTACGTTCAACAACTATAATCGGAAAGAGCGGCTTCCATCCGTTGTGTACGCCGACTTCGAGTGCGTTTTGAAGAAGACGTAGGAAGAAAGAAATTTCCAACATCATAAAGTGTTTAGTATTGCTTATTATGCACATTGTTCGTACGACGATTCGTTATCCGCGTATCATTCTCGTCGCAGTACCGATTGCATGTCATGGTTCGTCGAAGAACTAAAAAATTTAGCGCAACGTGTAAAAATAATTTTATCAGCTAATGTCCCATTGGTATATTTAACACCTGATGAATGGGAAAAAATTCATAGCGCGACGCATTGTCATATATGCAAAACCATTCGTCCAAGATGATACACGCGTACGCGATCATTGCCATCTGACCGGGCGGTACAGAGGTCCCGTGCATTCAAATTGCAATTTAAATTATAAAGATTCTTTTTCATTTTAATAGTTTTTTTATAATTTATCCGGTTACGACGCGCATTTCATTATCAAAGAAATAGCTACAGCGTTCGAAGAGGGAATCGAATTACTTCTGATAACAAAGGAAAAATATATATCATTTACGAAAAATGTTAAACTTGCAGAACAGAAATAAAAAAATCATATTAAATTGCGTTTTATTGATTCGTATAAATTTCTTACAGCCAGTCTCGATAAATTAGCATCATTCTTGAATAAAGATAAACTCAAAATTTTAAAATCTGTATTTCAAAACTTACCGAATGACAATTTCAATTTATTAATACAGAAAGGCGTCTTTCCGTACGAATATATTGACTGCGTCGACAGGTTGGAAGATATGTGTTTACCACCGCGCGAATCGGACATTACAAAATACCATTGTAAATAAAAATCATGTATATTTATTATAAATAAAAACTATGTGTATATTTAATGTAAATTACACGAGATGTACGTCGGAATTAGCAACGCGATGTAACTCGTATTCGTTAAATTTACCGGCGACGGGATTTCCGCGCGAATCTTCGAGTACGTAGGTCGCGGGATTAGTTTTCTGCACTTTAACGATCTTAAATACTTCGGTCGTCCAATTTGGCGTGTAACTTTTGTCAAAGATGGTCTTGAATTTACTCACGCGTACCGGATCGCCTACTGTGAATTTTGCCGGTGCCGCAATCTTTACGTTGCTGTATACCGTATTTAAAAGTTTATCGGCGATCGCGGGGGTAATATCGATAGGTCTCATACCGATAGTGCAATGTTTTCGCGCTTGTACTCTCCAACGAGCCGGGACAATGCGTCGATCCACTTGTAATTTCCATTAAGCGTAAATATTTTCCACATATTGTTCTTTAACGTTCGGAATTTTCGCGAAAGTTGTATTTAAAGTTATGGGCTCGACCCCGCGTATTACTATACTCTTCCCGGATACACATGAGACGCCATGTTGAAGCATACGAATATGACATTCGAATTGCTTACAGATATCGACATGATTATGTTAATTGAACGTGAAATACGTAGTGGTTTGAGTCAATGTTCCAACAGATATGCACATGCTAATAACAAGTACATGCAGTCGTACGATCGAAACCTTCATCGTATCTAATGTACTTTGATGTAAATAATTTGTACGGATGGACAATGTGTCAGCCTTTGCCCTATGCAGATTTTCAATGGGTCGACGACGTTTCCGATTTTGTTTGATACATCATCGATCGCGCTCGATTCGCCTACAGGTTACATCCTCGAAGTCGATCTCGAATATCCGCAACGCTATTCAGACCTCACACCTTACGCCACTTTAACAGTACATACGACTCCAGAGCGATGTTGGAATCTCGCTCAATGGATGCAGTGCCGATTGTCACGGAGAGACGAAATCCCCAGCACGTCTCCAGAGCGGTCTAATCATATTAAACGATTGAAAATTGGCCCCCATAGCCGCTTAGCGATGAGTCTTGACTCGTCACCAGTATGAATGGAAGCCTCCTCGAGTAGTCCATCCTAAACCACTACGCCTAAGCAGCCCCCTCTTCTGCTCCCAATTAATAATACGATCTTCCACCGTCACCACGTGGTGGATCTAGTGGACAGATTACCAGCACTTACGCTGGCACAGATGTACACCGCAGAGACGAAAGACATTCTGTCATTCTGCTGCCAATGTCAAACCTCTCCAGGATGATCGTGGAGTCCTGCCACAAGCAGTCACTTTATGGAGGAGTGCAGCTGACCATGGCACTGGTACGGCAGCGATTCTGGATCCCACGTGAAAGAAGCTTGACCAAGCAGTGCATTCACCGCTGCGTGAAATGTGTGCGATAGTGGGCGGCATCCTCCGAACAGTTCATGGCAGACCTTTCTCGGACGCGAGTCACTCCTGCGAGGCCATTCCAGTTTGCAGGAGTGGACTACGCCGGCCCAGTTTACCTCAGGACATCGCCAGGACGAGGCCACAGGGCAACCAAGACCTTCTTGGCGATTTTCGTGTGTCTGAGCACGAAGGCGGTGCACTTGGATGTGGCCTCGAACTATTCGGCAGAGGCGTTCATAGCGGCCTTCAGACGGTTCGTGTCCCGCAGGGGCCTGTGCTCGGAGCTCTTCAGCGACTGCGGCTCCAACTTCGTGGGTGCAGACAAAGACGCAGACTGTTCGCAGCAAGCAGCAAGGAGGGCTAGTTCATCGCAGCGGAAATGGCCAACAGTAGGGTGCAGTGGAGGTTTAACCCCTCCTGCAATTCCGCACTTCGGGGGCCTGTGGGAAGCAGCGGTTAAGGCCACAAAACATCACATGCTGAGAATACTGGGAAACACACTCACCTATGAGGAGATGGCCACGTTGCTTTTCACAGATTGAGGCGTGCCTTAATTCAAGGCCTCTAACGCTGACAGACGATCCCGAGGACTTGTCGGCATTAATTCCAAGTTATCTGCTCATAGGCGCTCCCCTTACCGTTCTTCCGGAGCCCTCACTGCAGGATGTTCCAGCTACATGCCTGTCACCCTGGGAACTCCGGCAACAGATGATAGACTACTTCTGGGTACGATGGACGAAGAAGTATCTCCAGGGATTAGTCACTCGGCCAAAGCGGAGAAAATCGGCATCGTCCTACCTACCTGGACAGCTGTGCCTGCTGCTACACCAGACCACGCCGCCGTCAAAGTGGCCACTCGCACGCATAACGTGCGCATGCCGTCCACTCGGGCACCGACGGACTTGTCCGCGTGGTCACCGTCCGCACGGCCACGTCGGAATTCACGCGACCGATAGCGAGACCGTTCTGCGAGAAATGACAAGAGAGTAATCGTGTCATCACTCATTTGCTATCTCGCTACATTAACCACATCTCATTAACTACTACGTACTATCACAGCCCATTCATAAATCCACAGGCGTAAAAGCGCGCGGTTCGCGGCGCGAAAAAATTCCGATCATGGTGCACATGACAACTTGTTGCGGCGCGATAGTCGCGGCGCGCGTTCCTAAATGCTAACATATCGTCCGTTTCACTAGACGAGGCGGGCAGTATGTTCGGAAGTGTACCTCATGCGATTATATCGCCGTTTGTAACATGGCGCGACGCGCCATGCGATAGCGGCGATTCATGCCTTACTCGGGATTCGAACCCGAGTGTATGCGGTAAGAGACGCCGACACTAAGTTGTGCGACTACTGATCTTACCAATATTTATTGCTTTGTAACACTCTTATAAAATGTGAAATACAGAGATTTAATTTTATATAATAAGAATATCAACAAAAAGATTTTGCAAAATAAAGTTTTTGTCGGTAAAACAGACCCTTTGGGATCCCCTTAATGACGCAATCAACACACGTGCAGCATTATGCGCAAAGGGCGCGTGTTACACTTCGGCACTCAAGAGCAGCGGCGCCCAATTATCGGCGCCCCTGCACCTGCGATTAAAACTTGGCGTGCGGTGATTCGCGGGATCAACCTCCGATTTTCGGGAAGGTTCCTATCCGCGCACTCCGGAAGTGAGAAAGCGCTTTGAATGTGAAGAAACTTTCTAAAAAGTCGGAACTGATAAAAAGGCGCTGGGCACCTGGCCTGCTCGCAGTCGCTCGTACGCAATAGATATCACTCGCAGCTTTCGCAATCATTAACAGTCATCTGGAAATTAACGGCATTGTAATAACGGACTTCGATTTGGATATTGTTTCGGAATTTTTTGTTAATAACGATTTGTTAAATCCTTTATAAATTGTGTGAATGCTTATTGGTTTCAATTAAATTATAATTGAAAGAAAACCTCGAGTTATTTTTGACGGAAACCAGCTCACGTTTTCGCGCCTTCTCGAACATATATATTTTTATATTATATATATTTTTAAAAAATTAATTTATTTTTTATATACATATTATATGAATGAATCCCATCTTCCCTTTTTATCGCGACAGCGTATCCTTCCGCGATAAGAGAGAGCATCGGCGCGACGCTTAAGCCTCGACAATACGTCGTATGTCGCTAGTCGCTAGTCGTATGTTGTATGTCGAATGTAATTACGACATGCCATTCTACAATTGAGTCGCAAGTCGGAACAAGTATTTAAGGTTATATAACAATGGAAACTGAAATGTTAGGCATTTATTTAAATTTGTTATCAGTTTGGACGCAAATTACAAAAATTAGATTACGTTTAAGAAAAAGACGTAAACTAACAAGAAGGTGGTGGGTAAAACCACATATTTCTATAAATATGAGACAACATGTTTTTTCGAGTGAGTGATCATGAAGCATTCTTTAAACTTGTAAGAATGTCAGTTCAACAATTCGATAATTTGCATGATCTTCTAAAAACAAAATTACGAAAAAGAAGTCGAAGAGAGCCTTTACCAACAGAGATACGTATCGCAGTGACATTGAGGTTAGTTTATTGATTACATTCTATTGCAAATATTATTAATATAGTTTACTTATATTTTATTTCTTAAAAAATATGAAATTTTATCACAAATTCAAATTTATTTTCAACTTTCTTGCTCATGGAGATAGCGTTACTACTACTTCTTTATTTTTTCGGATTGGAAGATCAACTCTGTATAGTATTATTCCTGAGGTATGTAATGCTATATGGGAAGTGTTGCAACCTACATATCTCCGATGTCCACAAGAAGAGAATGAATGGCTAAAAATCGCAGATGAATTCAATAATATGTGGGATTTTCCAAATTGTATTGGGGCAATTGATGGAAAACATTGTCGAATACAAGCTCCACCAAATTCACATAGCGCTTTTCACAACTATAAGGGTTATTTTAGCCTTGTATTAATGGCTATTGTGGATGCTTATTATCATTTTATTTGGGTTGACATTGGAGATTATGGTAAATTTAAATCACATAATCATCACAAGTAAAATATGTTTTAAAGAAAAAAGAGTTGTGAAAAATATATACATGTTTATATTATAGGTTCCCTGAATGATACCGGAATCTGGTCAAATACTGCAATGAAGCAAGCATTTGAAAACAACACAAATCTGTGCCAGAAGCCCGTTGCTTACCTAATACAAATTATCCATTGTCGTTTTCTATTGTTGGGGACGAAGGTTTCCCACTCAAAACATATATAATGTGTCCATATGCAAAAAGAAATTTACAAAGTAATGAGCAAAAAGTATTTAATTATCGATTATCAAGAGCACGCCGAGTTGTCGAAAATGCTTTTGGTATTCTTGTGGCACGATGGCGAATATTACAAAAACTTTTAGCTCTGAAATTAAATACTGCAGAGAAAATTGTGCAAGCTATAACTTGTTTGCATAATTATATTATGAGTACCAATTTACAAAATAATTCTTATTTCCATGAAAGAATGATAGATCGAGAAATAGCTGATGGTGAGATAATATCAGAAAGTTGATGAAATGAAATAGAAGAAAATGGTTTTATGAATCCTGATAGGACGAGTTGGTGCCAACATTGGTACGGCTGTTGCTATGAGACAACGCGAAACTCTCGCTCGATATTTTGTTTCAGAGGAAGGGAGCATTCCATATCAGTGGCAATATATATAATAAATTATGATATATATAAATTATATATATGATGTATATAATATAATATAGGGAATGTATATAATATAAGGAGATTCAATTTTTTATTTATAATAAATCTAGTTTTTTAAATACAATTTTCTTTATTTACGACGTTAAATACCAATCTTGTAAAAATAATGAAAATTGCATTTAAAGTTTTTGTAATTCTTTTATTAATAATAATATTAATTGTATACACAAAACTTTGTAACTTTTATAATTACAAAATCATCCTATTTTTAATGTCATCAATATTTACAAAAATATTTAATAAAGTAATAACAATATTGTTTGCAAAATATATATTTTTTAAGTGGTATACATATCACAAGTAATATTTGTACTATTTGATTGAAACTTAAAATATAAAATAAAATATAAAGTATAAAATAAATTTTGGATAATATTTTTAAAATTGTATGCAGTCTTGCATATATCTTTCTTAGAAAATATAAAGAATAGCATATAAAAATCAAAATATTTCTTTGTGTAAAACTAAATTTAAACTAAATTCAAGATATTAAAATGCTTTATTATTACATATATATAATATCACATATAAGCACAGTTTCTAATTATCTAGCTTATAAAGTATCACAATTAATAGTAGAAAACATTAAAAATAATAAATAATACTTGAGATATTATTTTTTGTTACAAATTAAGTTTATGATATTATAAAAATACTCTGATAAAAAATATTAACACAAAGTTTTAAAAAAAATAAAATATTAAAATAAAAAAACAAAATATAACGTAAGAAATATAATAAACATAAAAATACAACATAATAAAAATTTGAACATGTTGCTAAAAAAATTGAAGTTGTTGCTTCCTTTTAAAACGTATGATAAAAAATACGGCAGTTACATATATTAAAGGCTACTTATTCTAATTATTATCTTTCCTCGTACTTTTGAATGATTGGAAGAACTTCTATACGGCATTATGTTTTATTTCTAGAAGGAACATACTTCAATCTTTCTTTTATGGCGAACATGTAACCATCTTTAGTATCTTTTTTATTATACATATGAGATGATACTGCCTTCATAGCCGCAGATATTTCCTTACTTGCCGCTAACAAATCGTGATCAATTTGATCGTCTTTGCTCCTCCGACGTTTTGCAAATCCATCCATTTCCGGTGTTATTTTTTAAAAAGATTTCGATGTAAGTGGATTTTTAAAATTTGTCAAATTGGAACTCGTATTTGGCTCCGAAAATTGAATGCTGCTAGTACTACTACAGCTAGAAAGTGTACTAGCAGGCCAATTTAAAGTCTCGCTATCAGTTATAACAGGTTCTTCATTTTCAATATTCAATAATCTGTTCTCTGAAAATATTTATATATTATATTTATCAACATTGATATTAAAAATAATTCTTCTTTTTCCTTAATGTATACCTTCTACTGATTGTCCACTATAACTATGATCATATGACGGTGAAGAAATAATTAAATTGGAAAAATGCTTGGATTTTTTTAACGGTGAAAAAGTATTTGTTGTACTTGTCTCAAGTAATGAACCTTGTGATTGATTCTGAACAAATGATGTTTTTGTTCTGTAAATAAAATTATTAAACAGTCAAAAGTAAAATTATGAAATAAGTATTAACAAATAAATAAAAAATAAGTACTAACATAAATACAAATTATCGACCAAACATAGTTATATAACTGTTATATAACATATGTAACTAACATGTATATTACATGTAACATATAGTTGTAATTTCCCACTCATAGACGCAACATTTAATTAATATATTGGCATCGGAGGATGTTGAGGAAACT